GCCCTCCAATTTGGAGGCAGTAACATTCAGCTAAATTTCAAGAAATGTTCTCAATTGTCCTTGTCAGGCTTGGACTCTGTTGGAACTACAGAGAAACCCACACCCTTCATATCATTACTACACCCTTTCAAACAAACAAAACCTCACCAGTCTGTACAAGTCACTTCCTAAACCTGTTTAACACCCTGCCCATACCCACATGACAGAGGGTAGAGACTAAAAATAAATCAATCTGTATTCACCACTGTTTAGTTGGTGTGAATCCTTTTTTAGTTTTTTTTGTTGTTGTTTGTTTGTTTGAGACAGGGTCTCCCTGCAGCCCCAGCTGGCCTAGGACTCAACTACGTAGACCAGGCTGGCCTTGAACAGAGACTCTGCCTGCCTCTGCCTCCCAAAGTGTGGCCCACCAAGCCCGGCCATCCAAGGGTGGGCATAAATGGCATGAACCCTTTCTATAGTTAAGGTTTTAGGTAATTCACAGCCAGGTTATTCCTACAGTTAAATGAACTAAGAGTGATAAATCCTCAAGACATTGTGACCTCCCTCTAAATTATACCTTTTTTAAAAAAATTTTTATTATTTTTATGTGTATGAGTGTATTGCCTGCATTATGTGAGTGTACCCGTGTCATGCAATGCTGCGGTCAGAAGAGGGCTTTGAATTCCCCAGGAACTGGAGTTAAGGACAGTTCATAGCCACCATGTGGGTACTGGAAATCGAACCCGGGTCCTCTGCAAGAGCAGTCGTGCTCTTAACTGCTGAGCCATCTCTCCAGCCCCTAAATTACATCTTTTATTCAAATGTGCTGAGTTATAAAAATATAGACATGTAAAAGGGGGTAGAACAAAGACAACACCTAGTTGTTTTATAACAAAACAAAGGGTATCTTAAACTATGAGAAACAGCAGGGTGGAAGCTGAGGTAGGAGGATTGCCTTGAGTTCAAGATTAGTCTCAAAAATCAAGCCAGGTGCACTGGTATAATGCCAGCACTTGGAAGGTAGAGGCAGGCAGATCTCTGTGAGAGTGAGGCCAGCCTGGTCTACGTAGTGAGTTCCAGGCCAGCTGAGGCTATAGGGAGACCCTGTCTCAACACACACATACACAATCAATCAATCAATCAATCAATCAATCAATCAATCAAACAATAAAAAAATAAAATCAAGATTTGTCTTTTATTTTTATTTTTTAAAAGGTTTTTAAAAAATATTTTATTTTTATTTTATGTGTATGAGTGTATTGCCTATATGTATGTGAGTACACCCATGTCATGCAATGTCTCGGAGGTCAGAAGAAGGCTTCTGATTCCCCTGGAACTGGAGTTAAGGAGGGTTCGTAGCTGCCATGTAGGTGCTGAGAATCGAACCCAGGTCCTCTGTAAGAGCAGTCAGTGCTCTTAACTGCTGAGCCATCTCTCCAGCCCCTTAATTTATTACTTTTATTTTATATGTATGCATATATTGCCTGCATGTAGGTAAGTGCACCTGTGTTGTGCAATGCCCAAGGTCAGAAGATGATGTTGGATCCCCTGGGACTGGAGTTACAGACACTTGTTAGCTGCCATGTGGGTGCTGGGAATTGAATCTAGGCTGTCAGTGGTCTAACTGTTGAGCCATCTCTCTAGCCCCCCCTTCTTAATTTAGTGTTTCTTACTGACTGTTCCCTAAATCATTCTTCCTCAAGCAAGAAGCAGACAAAAACAGAACAAATTTTGGCTCTCTACTCTCCAGATACCTGTTGCTCAAAATTTTTCTAAACTTTCTGTAACATGACAAAATTACTAAACTGGATATTATGGTGCTGCCTATCATCCCAGAACTCAGGGCTGAGGCAGGAGGATTATAACAGTTCAAGGCCAGCCAGAGCTACATAGCAAAACCCTGTCTCAATAAACAAAACAAAACAAAACAAAGCAAAAAACAACAAGCCTGGTGTTGTAGCACAGGTCTATGATCCCAGCACTCCAGAGGTATAGGCAAGATCAGTAGCCCAAGGATAGCCTTGGCTATATAGCAAGTACAAGGCCTACTGGAGTTTCATGACAACCTGTCTCAAAAAAAAAAAAACAACCAACTAAATAACAACAGAAACCAAAACTGGTAGAACTCAATAAAATAAATGCTAAAAAAAAAAAAAAAACCCAAAAAACAAAACAAACAAAAAAAACCCTAGCAAGGCATGGTGGCACACACCTTTAATCCCAGCACTAGGGAGGCAGAGACAGATGGGCATCTGTGAGTTCCAACCCAGCCTGGTCTACATAGAAAGACCCTATCTCAAAACAATCTTCCCCTGCCAAAAACAAACAACAACAAAAAACTAAGCCAGGAGTGGTGGCATATACCTGCAATCCTAGCACTTGGGGAGGCAGAGGGTGGAGAATCTCTGTGAGTTCAAGACCAGCAAGGGCTACATAGTAAGACCCTGTCTCACTGTCTCAAAAACTTGAAAACAAGCCAAGTGTGTTGGCACACACCTTTAGTCCCAGCACTTGGGAGGTAGAGGCAGACGGATCTCTGAGTTCGAGGCGAGCCTGGTCTACATAGTGAGTTCAGGTCAGCTGGGACTACAGGGAGACCCTGTCTCAAAAAGACAAAAAAACAAACAAACAAAAAAAAAAACCCAAAACAAGAAACTTCTATGGCAGAGATTTGGGAGGCAGAGGTGGCACACACCTGTAATCCCAGTATTTGGGAGACTGAGGCAGGAGGGTCTCCAATTTGATTTACCCTGGGCTACAGAACAAGAATCTGTCCAAAAGGGGGAAAAATAGGAAAGAAAAAGGAAAAGAAAATTAAACAAACCTCTGCTGATAGGCACTAACTAGATAAAGTGATGGCTCAATCCCTAGAGTACAAATGACTTTGTAGAAGATTGGAGGAGATAGTTCCTGGAAGTCACTCAAAATGCCTGAGGTTAATTTATCTAAAATGAATAAATTCATGCATACATCAAGATCCAATTCCTAACTCCTGTCCTCCACAGGGCCAGCTCACAAAGACTCTCTCTTCCCTAGATTCTGAAGGTGGGTGCCACATGATTGCAGCTTCCTTACATCATGATGCTCATCAGAACTCTCTCTGGCTTATTTCCCCAACCAGGTGGTGGGCGTCTTTTGCTACCATCTGCTTTGAAATCTTAGCATATTATTAAACACAGCCACAGCGGAAATTGAGTATGTGTTTCACCAGGCTTTCCTGCTCAATATACACATTTGCACTGGTTTTAATGAGACTCTCATACTTTAGTCACTCTTTGGCAATGAGGAAAATAGTTCTTCCATGATTCCTTAGGTTGTCATGAGTCACATGGTAAAATAACTTGAGTCCTATAGCCAGGCCCTTTTCATCAGGTCTAATGTACTTCATTTTGAAGTAAAAATAGATTTTCCCCAGCTGAGCATGATGACCCATGTTTCTTATCCCAGCACCTAAGAGACTGAGGCAGGAGGATCACCATGAGTTTGAAGCTAACTTGCACTACATAGTGAGTTCTAAGCAAACCTGGGCTACCCAGTGACTGTCTCAAAAACAAAACAATAGCTCGTCCCACTCAATGTATTTCATTATGTGACTCTATTTTAAGCACAGATGCTTTAATTTGGGTGTTGCCTTAGACTTAAAGAAATTATTACAAGTGTGGCCAGAGGTCATGGCCACAAAATATAGTAAAATGCTTGCTGAATCCAAATTGCTATATTTCTACTCCTGGAGTCAAGAGTAAGTCATAAAAGAACATAAAGGCAAGTGGCCCAAGTACTGAAAACTATAAACAGCTAACCACTTTCTGTCATTCATTCAAAACTGTGAAATGGATTGCCTTGTTTCATGGTGAGGTCAGCATGGTTAAAGGTCTTCATGGCAAAGCTTAATGACCATAATGCAAGAAAGGATTGGTGAAGGGAGCCAACCAATCTGATAAGAGGTGGGGCTACATAACATCTCTTCCAAACTGAAGACTCTAGAAAGTTGAACTTGAAACATGACAACTTTTAATTTCTCCAAGAAATTAGTTTCCCCAGCATTCCTCAGTACTATTTGCCATTGTGTTACTTGCCAGTCACATCATTAGTAAAGGAAGGTATCACGAAGAGACAGAGCATACAAAAACTACCATTCACAAAGGATTACTGAAAAAGCACTGGATCAATACAATTGTATACCACACATTACAAACTTAAGTGCTGTTTTCGGTGCTTCAAAATTCCCAAAGCCCTGCTGCCCCTTTGCTCAGGTTAACAAGAAAGAAACTGAAATATATGTATATATACATATATTCCTAGTACAAATTCACAGATTTTTGGAGTACATCCAATTTCAATAACGACTGCATAAAGTACAACATAGTAGAAATCAATATATTTGAAATTAGGACAGGAATTTAAGTTTAAAAACCTGGTGGTCACTATAACCGTGCTTTTGCTCCAAAAGTTCATATGAAGTCTCAAGTTTTCGGACTCCTGAGTGCTTACAGGTTCCCCAAGCATCGAGTCACGTCTTCCAAAACCTTACTATACAGTCTTCCTGAGTTTATTTTTCCCGGTGTGTGATTTCCACCGTTGTCAGTGGTTTTAGGTCCTGGCTCAGAAACCTCACAAGAACAGATTGCGTTTTCTACAGGAACCATTCATATTTCCTGGATCTGCTTCTGCTTTACCTAGTATTGAAGATGTTTCTTAGGGAAAGTTGGTTAGAGGGACGATAAAGGAAGGGAATTCGGGGACTTTTGTGGGCAGGAGCCGGGTGGTGGTGTCTGTGCTCTGCTGGTGAACGAGCCCTTTGAGAAACAAGACAGCACCAGAAGAGGCACATCCCCGCTCCGGGAAGCTACAGCTGGGCGTACAGGCACCGTAGCCTCGGTACTCCCGAGCCCCAGTACCTGAGGCTGCACGGGTCCCCCAAAGTCACGGCACCCGAGAGCCCAACCGCAGCGCCAACCGCCCTCAGTCCTGAGGCCAGCCTGACGCGCCGGGCCACCTTCCCACTCCTAACCCGAACTCACAGCCAGTCTCCTTCTTGATCTCCTCGAGCTCTTCGTCCCGCAGTAACGTGGAGGCCCTGGACCCCATCACCGTGCCGGAGCTCCTCCGGAGCGGCAGCGCCAGAAGCAACGGCGGCGGGAGGGAAGAGACCGGGGTCAAGAAGGGAGAGGGCAGTGTCTCTCGGCGGCCGCGGGAGGAAAACCAGGGGAGGTGCGCGGGGGAGGGGGGCCCGACACCAGCCAATTAGCAGCGAGGCCGCGCCCTGCGCAGGTGTCGACGTCACCGCGGGGAGCTCCAGCCCCCGAATGAATCAGCTCCGCCGTCGCCAGAGCCCGACTGGAGACACACCCCTCCCCCGGAACCGGGGCTGCCACGGGCCTTAAAAGGGCGATGCCAAGGTGGCGCTAGCGCCCGCAATTAAAAGGGCAACGGCGCCGACCCCCCGAGGCTGGGCGACAGCCTAGCCGACAGTTTCTCACTGGACTCTAGACTCCAGGAGTCCCTCCCCACAGAGGACAGAAATTGCTGGACAATGTAGACAGACTGAAGGAGGAGAGCGTGACTGCAGCCGCTGGGAAGTGCATGCCGGGATGCGGGCTTCCGCTGGCCGCGCGGGGGCGCTGGGAAGCTCCAGGACTCGCTGATCAACCGCCGCCGAGTGGTCTGAAGAGCCTGAGCTTTCTTCTGTACCTGTAGTCCCTACTTTAGGTCTGGATTTCCCAAACCAATCCACCTGAAGGTAGTGCAGAGTGGATTCTCATCCAGGGACCGTTTATTTCTTTGAAGTTTATCTTTTCTTTTAAAGTGAGGATTTGTACCGGGAATGACCTTGCATGCCTTTAACCCCAGCACTCGGGAAGCTGAGGCAGGAGGATCTCTGTGAGTTCCAGGCCAGTGGGGCTACAAAGCAAGACCCTGCCTCAAAAAAAACAAAAACAACAACAACGAGGATTTGGAGTCTGGAGTGGTGGTACATGCCGTATTTCAGCCCTTGTTAGGTGGAGGCAGGAAGATTGAGTCCAGCCTGGGCAGTATCAGTAACTCCTGTCTAAACTTTGAACTCACTATGCAGTCCAGGCTAGCCTCAAACACAGATATCCACCTACCACTTTGCCTCCAAAGGCCTGGGATTAAAGGCTTGTTGCCACCATACCCCACTCCCCGCTATATTTTTATACTTTGTGTCTTCACAAATATTGATAGTAGCAACAACCAGAACCCTACTTACAAGATAAGAAAAGGGACGCTGTATCACTGTCTCCTTATTCTCTTGAGGTAGGGTCTTTTACTGAGCCTGAAGCTGGCTGGCAGGAACAAGCCTCATCAGTCTTCCTGCCTCTGCCCTCCACAGCACTGGGGTTACAGACGTGTGCATGGCCATGCCAAGCTTTTTAAGTGGGTTCCAGCGTCCAAACTCAGGTCTATGAGTTCCAAGCCAGCTGGGGCTACATAGTGAGATCCTGTCTCAAGATAAAAAGAAAAAGAAAAAAAGAAAGATGAGGATTTGGAGTCTGGAGTAGTAGCAGGGGCCATATCCCAGCCCTTGTTAGGTAGAGGCAGGAATATTGTTAAATTTGAGACCAGCCTGGGCAATATCAGTAACTCCTGTCTAAAGAAATTTTGGGAGTCAGGAATAGATAGATAGATAGATAGATAGATAGATAGATAGATAGATAGATAATGTAATTCAGTGGTAGAGTGCTTGCCTAGTATGTACAAGACTGTGAGTTCAATCATCAGCACTGGAAAAATATAATATATTATCTGCCTAAAATGCTATGTAACCTTTCATCTTCCTAGTTCAGGAAGGCTCATTATTTCATCACTGTTTTATAGTTAAATAGCAAAATTTATTGCTTGAGTTTGCTTAACGTGGCAAACACAAGCAGCTTTCAATTTTTTTTTTTTTTTTTTGTCTTTTTGAGACAGGGTCTCCCTGGAGCCCCAACTGGCTTGGAACATGCTATGTAGACCAGACTGACCTTGAACTCACAGAGATCCACCTGCCTCTGCCTCTGGAGTGCTGGGATTAAAGGCTTGTGCTGCCATGCCCAAACAGCTTTCAAATTTTTAAAAAGATTTTATTTTTAATTATGTGTATATGTGTGTGTGTGAGCATCTGAGTGTGCATGCATGAAGAGGCCAGGAGATGGCATTGAATCCCTTGGAGCTGGAGTTACAGGTGGATGTGAGTCACCTGATGTGGGTCCTGGGAATTGAATTCAGGTCCTCTGCAAGAAGGGTATGTACTTTTAACTGTTGAGCCGTCTCTCCAGCCCCTTAAACCACAGCAGAAAAAGAAAGTTTATCTGAACTTCTAAATATTGGGCTAGCCTTAAAACGAGATTATTCTATATGATATTGTAAATAGAAAGGATTACTCTTTTGTTGTTTTTTGAAACGGTCCCCCTGTGCCCTCAGCTGACCTGGAACTCTGCTATGTAAACCAGTATGACCTCCATCTCACAGAGATTGGATTGCCTCAGCCTCCCGAGTGCTGGGATTAAAAGTGTTCACTACCACACCTGGCTCAGGATTACTTTTTAAAAAAAAATATTTTATTTATCATTCCCATTCCATGTGTATGTGTGCACTGCCTGCATGTATGTAAGTGCACCTGTGTCGTGCAGTGCCCACAGAGGACAGAAGAGGCTGTCGAATCCCCTGGAACTGAAGCTACAGACAGTTGTCAGCTGCCATGTGGGTGCTGGAATTCAAACCCAGATCTTCTGCAAGAACAGTCACTGTTCTTAACCACTGAGCCATCTCTCCAGCCCCAGGATTACTCTTAAATTATAGTATTATACTACAGAACTCCAAAACTATTGGAGATCCAACATTCTTTTCTTGCCTTCATAGGCATTGTACAACATGGGTGCACTTACATACATGGAGGCAGAACACTCATACACATAAAATTTAAATTTAAAACAAATATTACTTTTATTTTTTTGTGTATGAGTGTATTGCCTGCATGTATGCAAGTGCACCCATGTTGTGCAATGCCTGCAGAGGTCAGAAGAGAGCGTCGGATCCTCTGGAACTGGAGTTAGGACAGTTGCTAGCTGCCCTATGGGTGCTAGGAACCAAACCCGGGTCCTCTGCAAGAGCAGCCAGTGCTCTTAACTGCTGAGTCATCTCTCCAGCTCCAAAATTTAAAAAAAAAATTTTTTTTTGTCTTTTTGAGACAGGGTCTCCCTGTAACCCCAGCTGTCCTGGAACTCACTATGTAGACCAGGCTGGCCTTGAACTCACAAAAATCTGCCTGCCTCTGCCTCCCAGTGCTGGGATTAAAGGCATGCGCCACCATGCCCAGCCTAAAACTTTTTAAAAACTTAAAGCCTGACCTGGGTTCAGTCCCTAGAATCCACATAAATGTGGAAGGAAAGAATCAATCCCACAGGCATGCCAATGTGTCCTTTCTCACTCTCACATGCATAATAATGATAACAATTTTTAAAGACTCCATTTTAAGGCTGGCAAGATAGCTCAACAGATAAATTCACTTGCCTGGTTATCTGAGTTTAATCTTCAGGACCTACAGAGTGAAAGGAGGTAAATGGCTCTTGCAGGTTGTCCTCTGACCTCCACATTCCTGCTGTGTGGTAATCCCCCAATAAATAAATAAGTAAATAAATTAATATAACCATGTGGTAGCTTATGCCCTTAACCCCATATGGGTTTGGAGGGGGGAGGGTCACAGAAGCAGGCAGATCTCTGTGAGTTCAAGTCCAACCTGGTTTACATAGCAAGTTCCAGGCCAGCTGGGGCTACAGGGACACCTTGTCTCATGGATGGATAGATGGATGGATAGATGATTGATTGATTGATAGATAGATAGATAGATAGATAGATAGATAGATAGACAGACAGAAGATAGATAGATAGATAGATAGATAGATAGATAGATAGATAGATAGATAGATAGATAGATATAAAAATACCAGCGTTGTGGAATATACCTTTAATCCAACACTCAGGAGGCAAAGGCAGGAGGCGCTCTATGAGATCAAGGCCAGCTTGATCTTCGTACTTCCAGGTTAGCTGGGGCTATAGTTTTCAGATTCCCACATATGAATTTAAACTATACCAGCCATGTTTCTCATTAGTATTGTAACATGATGAATAAAACCGAACCACTCTTTTTACCCTCATAGATATGGAGAAAGGCTTAGTAACCATACTTCCAAAACAGTTTTTTTAAAAATCATGTCTTTATTAATTTTCAGGTGTTTGGATACTTAATGAAGATTCTTTGAGGACTGCTTTTGGACTCAAAAGGCATGGATCCCAGCAGTGACTACTATTTCCTCAACCAGATTTTGTGGAAGAGAGTGAAACTCACATTGGTTTCTGGTGCCTTTGAGGGTGTGCTTCAGCATGTGGATCCTAACAAAATTGTTGTCCTGAAAAAAGGTTTTCTTCTGTTTGTCATACTCTTCTGCCTCTTAGAGATTAGTGGTAGAGTATAGGTAATGACTTTGGGCTCCATCAGGAACTAAGAAAGGAGCATCATTTCTATTTTAATCTACCATGAGAGGAAGATTAGAATACTGTTCCCTACCAGAGCAAAATGGCCACCAGTTCTAGTTGATCCCCACTTCTATACTTTGACAGAATAGTAAAGTTTTTCAATATAAAGTTTTACATTTTTGGTGCTGAGCTGGGCATGGTGGCACATGCCTTTAATCCCAGTACTTGGGAGGCAGTAGCAGGTAGATCTCTATGAGGTTGAGGCCAGCTTTATTTATATAGTGAATTCCAGATCACTTGGAGCTATAGGGAGACACCCTGTCTCAAAAAGACCAAAAATAAAAATAAAACCATGTCTCATGAAAAAAGGAGTCTACAGTGGCTAAAGGATATGAGCAGGGACCAGGTGCCTTATGTTCCTGCTCTGCCACCTTAGTGATCATCTGCCCTTCTCATGACAAGATTACCTTTGCATGTTTCAACTCCATTTCTGGTTACTCATAAAGGATGAAATTGAAAAACGGCCAAATGGAAGAGCAAAGTGGGAGACGGAAGCAGGAACTTTGTGTGCTGAGTATGCCCCTCCCAGCACCTTCAGGTGTTCTCTGTCACTAAGCTCTGATTGACAGAGGCTTTTTTCAACTAGAATACTGGCTTGCTAAAGTGGTAGTTTACTGACAAGATAGGCTTCAAGTTTACAATTAAGTTCTCAATTATAAAAACTAAGATTTGAGGCCTGGAGAGAGTGCTCAGTGGTTAAGACCACATACTGCTCTTGCAGAGGAACCCAGTGTGGTTCCTAGCACCCATACCAGTCTCCTCAGGACCACCTGTAACTCCAGGTCCTGGGGATGGATGCCCTCTTCTAGCTTCTGTGGGCACCTGCACTTATATGCACATACCGTTACATAGGCATATACACATAATTAAAATGAAAATAGATGTTTTTTAAAAATAGCATTTGAGAGATTAGTGTTACTTAAACCATATTTTAAGTTAAAATGGGCTAGGTGGGATGGGACTGTAACAAACTTTCACAGAATTCATTCAGTGATCATTTACTGATTATTTTGTACCATAAAAATGTGCTAGGTAGGGACTGGAGAGATGGCTCAGTGGTTAAGAGCACTGACTACTCTTGCAGAGGACCTGGGTTCGATTCCCAGCACCCACATGGCAGCTACGAACTGTCCTTAACTCTAGTTCCCAGGGAATCCAAAGCCCTCTTCTGACCTCCACTGGCATTATGTGACACGGGTACACTCACATACAGGCAGGCAATACACTCATACACATAAAATAAAATAAATAAAATTTAAAAATATGTGCTAGGTACTAGGGATGTATATGTATATCTCCCTGGTACCTAGCACACTTTTAATGATTTATAGATATATAGTAATAACATTTATATATGTAGTAATAGCATGATCTAGTCATCAGAAAATTTAATTAAATCAATAGTCAAATATGACAATAACAGCAAAAAAGAATAAGATAAATAGGTAGACAGGTATAAAAAAACTGAATAGTGACACGTGTATTCTCAGCTGTTTCAGGAGACTGAGGCCTGAGTTTGTAATCCCAATTGTTTTTTCAGTAGCAGTGTGATATTGAGCAAGTCATTCAAAATGAAATGCGTGTCTCATTATGCTACAGGAGAACAAAATGTAGGCAGATGGCATGTTCCTGGCTTGGAGTGAGTGTTCAGTATATAGAGGTTCTAGGTAATTAGTAAGCAAGGAATTAAGCATAAAGCATGTAGGCCAAAGAAGAAAGAAGAGGACATTGCCAAAGGGTGTATGAAGGTCAAGTCAGATGAGACTGTAAAAGCCCTTGATAATCTCTGATCTCAGTAAGAATAAATTTAATAGAATAACAAGGATAGAGCTCAGTCATTTAAGATTACTGAGAGGCTTGGAAATAGACAGCTGCTATGAGTACTTCATTTCGAATGCCATGCCTATTGGCTCATGCCTGTAATCCCAGCACTTGGGAAATGGAAGCAGGAAGATCATGAGTTCAAGGCCACCTTCAACTACATAGAGAGTTTGAGGCCAGCCTAGAACATATGAGAGCCTGCTTCAGAAAACCAAACTCAGGGCTGAGGATGTGGTTCAGCTGGTAGTTTGCCTAGCATGCATGAAGCCCTGCATTCAAACCCTAGCACTGTATAAGCCAGTGATGGCACATGCCTCTAGTCCCAGCACTTGAGAGGCGGGTGGCTACATGACATGTCTCAAGAAGACAGGGAGAAAGAAGGAAGAAGGAAAGTAGTATGTTCTGAACTTCCCCTTAATTTAAGGCATTCAAAGATTCTCAGGAGAATTTTTAATTTGGTGTACTGCTTCTGTCCTTTTTTTTTTTTTAATCTTTTTTTTTTTTTAAATCTTTTTGTCTTTTTGAGATAGGGTCTCCATGTAGCCCCAGCTAGCCTGGAACTAGCTACATAGACGAGGCTGCTCTCCAACTCACAGAGATCTACCTGCTTCTGCCTCCCGAGTACTGGATTAAAGGTGTGTGCCACCACGCCCAGTTTTAGTTTCTTTAGACCATTATGAGGTTTACTCTATATTACTGGTTCCTAGCCTGTAGTTTTGTAATTTGACCCTTCATTCATTGGGAAAAATAATTTGGGGATTTTTATAAAATTCAGATGTTAGTAATTTTCGGAGGTATCACATTTTCTTATAGTTTGGGAAAAATAGTATTTGGTATTAACCAAATGAATTCTTTTCTGTCACAGTAAAGAACATGGAGACAGGCCGGAATGTTCCAGGAGTGAAAATGTTTTTTGGGCATGAAATTTTGAATGGTGAGTTTTATGTTCTCTGAATGCTAACTAGAATTTGCAGTAGTAAATTTATTGTTCTACCTCATTCAGGTATTTGAATGGAAATAGGGTGTTGTCTTGTTTTTAATAGTACATGAGGGGCTGGAGAGATTGCTCAGTGGTTAAGAACACTGGTTGTTCTTGCGGAAGACCTGGGCTCAAATCCCAGTACCCACATGGCAGCTAACAACTGTCCATAACTCCAGTCCCAGGGGATCTGACAGCCTCTTCTGACTAATGCAGGCATTGCATGACATGGGTGCATTTATCTACATGCAAGGTAATATATGCATACACATAAAATAAAAATAACAAAAATTTTAAAATAGCACATGAATTTTCTCTTTATTAAATATTTAATCGATTTTTATTTTATGCAAATGTTTTGCCTGCATGTATGTAAGTGCACCATGTTTGTGCAGTGCCCACAGAGGCCAGAAGAGGATGTAAGCTCCCCTGGAACTGCAGTTACAGATGATGATTAGCTGCCATGTGGATGCTAGGAACTGAACCTGGGTCTTCTTGAAGAGCAGCCAGTGCTCTTAACTGCTGAGCCAACCCCCTATATGAACTTCTAAAGTTGGTATTTGAGGGCTAGGAAGATAGCTCAGTCATTAAAGTGCTTGCCTTGCAAGTGTGAGAACGTGAGTTCGATCCCCACACCTACTTGAAACAATGCTAGACTGGTATGCACTTGTAATCCCAGCACTGGGGAGGCAGAGACAGGTAGATCCCTAGGCCTTGCTTGCCGGTCAGTCTAGCTTATATTACAGGAGGATCAGAAGTTCAAGGTCAGCCTTGGTTTATATATAAGACCCTGTCTCAAAAAAACAAACAAAAGAGTATATCTTAGAATCAAGGAAATACATTTAGTGCACAATTAGGTTAAAAACAATTGGTTTTTTAAATCTCTGTCAGAGGGGCTAGAGAGATGGCTCAGCGGTTAAGAGCACTGACTGCTCTTGCAGGGGACCCGGGTTTGATTCCCAGCACCCACGTGGCATCCTTAACTCCAGTTCCAGGGGAATCCAAAGTCCTCTTCTGATCTCCGTGGCATTGCACGACACAGGTGCACTCATATACATGCAGGCAATACACTCATACACATAAAAATAACAAATATTTTTAAAAATCTCTGTCAGAGCGGGGTGTGGTGGTACACACCTTTAATCCCAGCACTCAGGAAGCTGAGATAGGCAAATCCCTATGAGATTGGGGCCAGCCTGATCTATATATTGAGTTCCAGGTCAGCTGGAGCTACAGGGAGACCCTGTCTCAAAAAACCAAAAGAAAAAAAAACCCAAACAAAAACAAACCAAAAAACCCAAAACCACAAAAACCTCACAGCAAAAAACTCTTGTCAGTCAAATGTTTGTTCATAATTCTGGGATTTCTGCTCTGCGTTTCATTTTCTTAAGCCATCAGCATCAGCCTGGGAGAGTGTCAGTAACAAATCTGTGGCTGATTTAAAAGAGTACCCACCAGCAGTATATCGTATGAGGGATAGTGTATTAGGATTGAGATGAGCACAGAAAACCTATAGGGGACTGGAGAAAGGCTCAGAGGGAAGACCACTTGCTGCACAAGTAGGAAGCTAAATTCAAATTGCTAAACCCACAACCCGAACATGGTTGTGCAGACCTGTAACTCCAGCACTGTGAGTGGCCAGAAATAAGATGATCTCGGGCTTGTTGCCAGCCTAGCTCCAGGTTGAGGGAGAGACCCTGTCTCAAGGGATTAAGAGTAATAGAGTAGGACACCAGGTATGCTTCTCTGGCTTCTGTGGGAGAATATGACCCTGTGCACACGTGCACATATGTCACACATAAACACATAAAAAAATTTAAAAATAAAAAAATCTATAGAATCACTACAAATAACCACATAGGTACCTTTGAGGCAAAAAGGTAGGGGGAGTTAAAGGAAACAGAGAGATTCCTAATTCTGCTAAGTAACCAAGAAACTAAGGACATAATGCTGGCAATCTATAGGACTTCAGATACTATATTTTTCTCTCTGTTGATGTCCAATGAAGGCCTCTGTGAACTAACATTTCAATTTCAATTCCTGTTTATATTATGCTGTTGAACTGGGTGTGTGGGGATAGGATGGCTAATTAATTGCTTTTCAGTTAGAAACTGGAAAGCCTTATGGTTGTTTTTCAGTGGAACTGCTGGATGAAGTGGAACAAACTGCATTGGAAGAAAAGGCATCTTCTGTCAGGTATTGTGAGATAATTTTCATTATGAGGTTTTCCAAATATGCATATTAGAGTAGAAAGACTTAACTCTAACCCACTAGCTGCTTAATTCTAAAATGGCCTAAGGAAATAAAAACAAGAAGGCAAATACGGATGTCTTCCATCTCTAGAGAGCATGCCTAAGCAGTGAGAATAAACAGTATAGGAATGGACCACAGTCATTGCTGTTAATGGGTGGGGAAATCTGTAACAGAACAAGTTCATCTAAATATATATTGTTTTGTAAGGATAGTCTAAATACAGAAAGAGCCAGAATGGATAAAATGAAAGATGAAGACCTAAATGTATGTGAGCCTGCTTCACCTGCACCAGAGGTCACAACCAACTCTCTGCTCATTGACCTCAAATATAGCCCATTGGGTGAGTACTGGAACTCTGAATTTGCTAGATTGTTTTTAGTTGTGGTTCACAATGCTGAATAAGAAAAATATATAAAGCCAGGCGTGGTGGCACATGCCTTTAATCCCAGCACTCAGGAGGCAGAGGCAGGTGGATCTCTGTGTGTTCAAGTCCAGCCTAGTTTACAAAGTGAATTCCAAGCTAGCTGGGGCTACAGGGAGACCCTCTCTCAAAAAGACCAAAAAAAAAAAAAGAAAAGAAAAATATATATGAATTATTTGTTTCACATGGGAATGCACACTACATGCCAGGATTGTGGGTCCTGCTGTCATTGAGCTCTGAAACAAGAGACATATGTGAAATAGGGTAACAGTAAAAAACCTGTGTGGTGTTGCATACCTGTAATCCCAGCACTTGGGAAGTGGAGGCAAGGGGATCAGGGTTTAAAGATAGTCTTGGCTACATAGCAAGTATGAAGCCACTCTAGGGTATATGAGACCCTGTCTAAAGAAAAAAAATAATAAATGAGTAAAATATATAAAACTGAGAAGGAAAACTGCAGAAGGATGTAAGTATATAAGTATATGGATCATGTGGTTTCACAGTTTGGGTTACTAGGACAGGTCTTGGCTGAAGTAGTAACATTTTCATAAAGAGGGAGAAATTGAGCTGTTTGGATGCCATAGGAAATGCTGTTTGTTTGATTTAGTCTTGGCTTATTTGGAGACACATTCTTATTTGGTATCCCTGGCTGCTGGCCTCCCTGATGCCAGGGACAAGTGCCACCACCACTTTGCTTTGCTTTTTTCTTTGGTCTTTTTGAGACAGGGTCTCCTTGTAGCCCCAGCTGTCCTGGAACTCACTATGTAGATCAGGCTGGCCTTGAACGCACAGAGATCCACCTGCCTCTGCCTCTCAAGTGCTGGGATTAAAGGTGTGCGCCACCACGCCCGGCTTATTTATTTTTAAAATGTTTTATTTATTATTTTATTTTTATGTGTATGTGTGTATTGCCTGTGTGTATGTAAGTGCACTGTGTTGTGCAATGCCTGTGGAAGACAGAAGAGGCTGTCAGATCCCCTGGAACTGGAGTTACTGACAGTTGTTAGCTGCCATGTCGGTGCTAGGATTCAAACCCCAGGTCTTCTGCAAGAACAGCCAGTGTTCTTAACCACTGAGCCACAGCCCTATTTTTGTTTATTTTTTATTTTTTGTCTTTTTGAGATAGGGTCTCCCTGTAGCCACAGCTGGCCTGGAACTCACTATGTAGAGCAGACTGGCCTTAAACTCACAGAGATCCGCCAGCCTCTGCCTCCTGAGTGCTAGAATTAAAGGTATGGGCCATCATGCCTGGCCAAAGTTCTTTTTTAAAATTAATTATTTTATTTGTATTTTATGTGTATGAGTGTTTTGTTTGCATGTATGTAAATGTACCATGTACATGCAGTGCCCACAGAGGCCAGAGAGTGCTTCACATCCCCTGGAACTGGAGTTATAGTTTGTTGTTAGTTACCATGTGAGTACTGGGAATCAAACCCAGGACTTCTACAAGAATAGCCAGTGGTCTTAACTGCTGAGTCATCTCTCCAGCCCCCTGCTTATCCTCTTAAGTGTTGAAATTATGAGCCACTATGCCTGGCTGGAAAACATATTTTAAACTGAGAGAAGACCAATAAAGGGTCTGTAGGTAGCACACGTCAGATCTTTAATCATCAGCTGGGAGTTCAGTATTCATGGAGCAAAAAAAAAAAAAAGGAATAGGAAATGAGGTGGGATTGGTGGGTCACTGAGGAGTGTATGTGGATCCTTAAAGGGATTTAGGACTCTGAAGTGAGAAGGAAAGCATTGGAGGGCTTTTTATTTTTTTACTTTAAATAAAAAAGTCAGGTGTGGTGGGACATTAGCTGCAATCCCAACCATTCCAGAGGCAGAGGCAGGAGGATTTTGAGACCAAGGCCAGCCTGGGCTACAAAAAGACCCTGTCTCAAACAAGACAAACAAACAAAAAACAACCAACCAAACAACAAAAATCTAGACAGCCTTGTGAAAAGATTATTATTTTTTGTTTGTTTTTCATTTGTCAGTCCTACACTGTGGTCCATGCTAGCCTGGAACTCAAGGCAATTATCCTGCCTCAGCCTCCCAAGTTTTGGAATAACAGGTATGCACTACCACCATGTCTGATCTTCATCAATGATATTTTTTTTTCCAATGACAATTTTTTTTTGGTCTTTTTGAGACAGGGTCTCCCTGTAGCCCCAACTGACCTGGAACTTGCTATGTAGACCAGGCTGGCCTCGAACTCACAGAGATCCGCCTGCCTCTTCCTCCCAAGTTCTGGGATTAAAGGTGTGCACCACCACGGCCCGGCCCTCCAATGATAATTTTTAAGTTCAGTTTTCCACTGGAGGGTCTTGACCAGAAAATAACATAATTTGACTTCTGGGATTTTCTTTGTTGCTGTTTAGTTTAGTTTTAGTTTTAATTTTTTGGCAGCAGAGTCTCATGTAGTTCAGGCTAGCCTCACATTATGTAGCTAAGGATGACCTTGAACTTCTGATCCTCCTACCTCCACCTCTCCAGTGCTAGGATTATAGGTATGTACTTCCACACTATTTTATGAGGTGCTGGAGAAATGAACCCAGAGCTTCCTGCATATAAGGCAAGCACTCTGCCGATGGAGCTGCATCTCCAGCCCAGCCCTCGCCTTCACTTTTTTTGGGATAGGGTCTTGTGTAGCCCAGTCTGGCTTTGAGCTTTCACCCTTACTGCCCCAGACTCCAAATACTAGGATTACAGGCCTACACTATCACACTCAGCCTGTCTTCTATTTCAATTTATTGATTTTTAAAAAAAATAAAGCCGGGACTGGAGAGATGACTCAGCAGTTAAGAACACAGGTTGTTCTTGCAGAAGACCCCGGTTTGAATCCCACCACCCACATGGCAGCTAACAACTGTCCATAACTCCAGTTCTAGGGGATCCGACAGTGTCTTCTGTCCTCTGTGGGCATTGCATGACACGGGTGCGCTTACCTACATACAGGCAATACATGCATACACATAATATAAAAATAATAAAGAAAATATTAGAAAAAATAAAGCCATATTAGTTTATGTTCATGTTTCCTGATTTTTTTTTTTTAATGCTAGGGACTGAACCCAAAGTCTTGGGTATGCTAGGCAAGTACCCCATCCCTGAGCAACATTGCCAGTCTCCTGACTTCTGTTTTATTTTATTTTTAAAACATTTTAATTTTATGTGTATGAGTGTTTTGCCTGCATCTGTGTTAAGTGAACCTGTGTCATGCAGTGGTCACGGAGACCAGAAGAGAGCATCAGATCTCTTGGAACTAGAGTTACAGATGGTTGTTAGCCACCATGTCAGTGCTGGGAATCAAACATAGGTCCTTTAAAAGAACAGCAAATGTGCTTAACCACTGAATCATCTCTCTAGCCCCTGTTTATTTTTTAATTATTTGTTTATAAATTTATTTTGTTTATTATTATAGGTGTGTGTGTGTGTGTGTGTGTGTGTGTGTGTGTGTGTGTGTGTATGTATTTATGATGTGTGAGTGTGGTCACATGCCACAATGTACATGGAGGTCAGAGGACAACTTCTAGGAGTCTCATCTCTCCTTTTACCATAGGTTTTACAGATCAAACTCAGGTCTTCTGGTTTACACAGCAAGCATTTTTACCTGCTGTGCAATCTCACTAGCCCTTGACTTCTGTTTTAATTTTGTTTTACATTTATTTATTTTGTGTGTATCTGTGAACGTATGCACATACACATGCACACATTCACTCTAGGGGCCAGCAAGATGACTCAGGAGATAAAGGTGCTTGTTATCAAGTATGATGACCTGTGTTTAATATCCAGGACCTACATGATGGAAGGAGAGAATCAGCTCTTTTAAGTTGTCCTCTGACCGTCAGAGATATGCCATGGTACTCACTTGCACACACACACACCATAATAATTAACAAAATTACATGGTGGTGGTACATGCCTTTAATCCCAGCACTCAGGAGGCAGAGGCAGGCAGTCTCTATGAGTTCGAGGCCAGCCTGGTCTACATACGAGTTCCAGGCCAGCTGGGGCTACAGAGAGACCCTGCCTCAAAAAGACAAAACAAAACAAAAATAAGAACAACAACAACAACAAAAAAAAAAAACGGGCATGGTGGCATGCCTGTAATTCCAGCACTTGGGAGGCAGAGGCAGGCTGATCTTTGTGAGTTTGAGGCCAGCCTGGTCTACATATCGAGTTCAGTCCAATTGGGGCTACAGAGAGATCCTGTCTCAAAAAGACAAATAAAATAATTAACAAAATTTATAAACATGTATGTATGTAATTAAATATTTTTTACAAAGATCAATTTGGTGGTGTGGGTATTGACAGCTGGGCAAAGATAAAAGCATGGATGAATAGGAAGATATTAAAGTAATTTTTGTTTTGAGGCAGGGTTTCCCTATACCCCTAGCTGACCTGGAAATTTCTGTGGAGCCCAGGCTGACCACGATTTTACAGAGATCCATGTGCATCTGGGATTAAAGGTGTGCCACCACACGTGACTTAGAGTAATTTTTTTTTTTTTTTTTTTTTTTTTGAGACAGGGTCTCCTTTTAACCCAGCTGTCCTGGAACTCACTATGTAGACCAGGCTGGCCTTGAACTCATAAAGATCCACTTGCCTCTGCCTCCCAAGTGCTGGGATTAAAGGTGTGGGCCAACATGCTGGCTGATTTACAGTAATTTTTGAGACAAGTTTCTCTGTTATTACTCAGGCTTGTCTCAAACAGTATTCCTGCCTCATCCTCTTCATTGTTGGGGTTTTAGGAATAGCATACCATTCCTGGAGCTATTGAAACATTAAAATTTTTTTTCATTTCATTATTTGTGTGTGTGTGTGTGCACACACACATGTATGTGTGTATGTATATGGGTACAAATGTGGCATGAAATGCATGTGAATGTTAGAGGGCCAACTTGTAGGAGTTGTTTCTCTCCTCCTACCACATGCATCCCAAGGATTAAACTCAGGTTTTCAGGTTTGGGGACAAGGACCTTTACCTGATGAGCCATCTGGCTGGCCCTTGAAATATTTTAAACCAATAGAGGTGCTTCCCTGGACCACCTGGTTATAGCAGTAGAACAGATAAGAAGTGTTGGTGTTCTGGATACATGTTGAAGATGGAGCCCATGGAATAGAGGGTTTAAATAGGGATGAGAAAGAATAAAGAGGAACCAAGGATGACTTTAGGGGAGTTGGAGCCTGAGCAGCTGTAAGTATGAAGTTATTGGAAACTAAGTTGAGAAAGACTATATGTAGAAAAGGTTTTAGAGAACTGAAAAGTTCGGTTTTAGTCAGTTAAATTTGATAAAAACTTGGAGATGCCAGCACACAGGAGGTGGATTGCCAGGAGGAGTTTAAGTTGAGGACAGCCTGAGCTATATAGTGAGATTCTGTCTCCAAAAATAAAAAATACAGCTTAGAGATGAGAAGAGAGTCTGAAATGGAGACAATTTCAGGAGAGTCAACCAATAGATTATTTTTATTTTTTATTTTTATTTTATTATTATTTAGTTTTTGATGTTTTTGAGACAGAGTCTCCTTGTAGCCCCAGCTAGCCTTGAACTCACTATGTAGACCAGGCTGGCCTTGAACTCACAGAGATCCTTCTGCCTCTACCTCCTGAGTGGCATGTGCCACCACGCCTGGAAATATTTATTTTTAATTGAAAAAAATTGGGAGTTGGGGTGAGATAGGGTCTTCCTGTGGCACCAGCTGACCTGGAACTTGTATATAGACCAGACCAGCCTCGATTTCACAGAGATCTGCCTGCCTCTGCTTGCCAAGTGCTGAGATTAAAGGCATGTGCCACCATGCCAGCAAAGAGATGATTTTAAAATTTGTGTATCTCTGTGTGTCTGTGTATGTCTGTGTATCTGTATGCCAGTTGTGTGTTGGTGCCATCAGAGTCCAGAAAAGGTTGTCTGATTCCCTGGAGCTGGAGTTACAGGTAGTTGTGAGCTGCCTGACATAGATGCTAGGAACAAAACTTGGGTCCTCTCTTAACCACTGAGCCACTAAGATTAAAAAAAAAAATCTTAGGCTGGGCCTGGTGGCACACACCTTTAACCCCAGCACTCAGGAGGCAGAGGCAGGTGGATCTCTGTGAGTTCAAGGCCAGCGTGGTCCACATAGTGAGTTCCAGGACAGCTGGGGCTACAGGGAGACCCTGTCTCAAAAAGACCAAAAAAAAGAAAAAAGAAAAGAATCTTAAATTTGGGCCTGGGGCTATAGCTCACTTGGTAGACTGCTTGCCTGGCATGTACAATGTCCTGGCTTCAACCCTAGTACCACATAAAACTAGATGTAGTACACTTGGAAGGTGGAGGCAGGAAGATCAGAAGTTCAAAGTCTTTAAGGAGTTCAAGACTAGCCTAGCTACATGAAATCCTGTCTCAAAAAACCTAAAAAACAAACAAACAAAAATAAATAAAATAAAAATTATTAACTGGCAAGATTTAGAGAACTCCAAAGTGTGAATATTATTCCTTCTCCAGGACTCATTTATTGTAAACTGTTACATTTTGTTATGAAAATGTCTTTTAAAAGTGCTTGACTTGGGCATGCCAGATATCTCTCAGTGGATGAGGCATTTGCCATGTGTCCTTAGTTCAATCCCCAGAACCCATAAAAAGATGAGAGAACCACCACTAAAGAATTGTCTTCTGGGTGCTGGAGAGATGGCTCAGCCGTTAAGAATACTGACTGTTCTTGCAGAAGACCCAGGTTCGAATCCCAGCACCCACATGGTAGCTAACAACTGTCTGTAACTCTAGTCTCGGGATCCAATAGCCTCTTCTGTCCTCCAAGGACATTGCTCAACATGAGTATACTTACCTACATGCAGACAATACACGCATACACATAAAATTAAAAAAAAGAATTTTCTTCTGATCTCCACATGCACATCCCTTTACACACATCATGTATACACACATATACAATACTAAGTTTTTCAAAAGTACATGTCTTGGAGCTGGAGAGATGGTTCAGTGGTTAAGAACACTGGTTTATCTTGCAGAGGACCCAGGTTCGGGTTCCCAGCACCCATACATCAGCTAACTGTCATCCATAACTCCAGTTCCAGGGGATCTGACACTCTCTGTCTGATCTCAGAAAACAATGCATTCACATGGTACACTTAAATGCTGGCAAAAAACCCCGTTCTTAATTTTTTTTTAATTAAAAGCGCTTGACTTGAGATATTCAATATATACACCTTGGAAGAGAGAATCAGTACTGGGTGTGAGTAGCCCACTTGATTTGTAGGCTTATCCTTGATGGGCCTCTTGTTTATTCTCAATTGACAAAATAGAATGGCAATTAGTATTCACTGTATTTGCTAGGGGAGGGGACTGAACAGTGATAAAGAAAATGGCTGAGGGGCTGGAGAGATGGCTCAGCGGTTAAGAATACTGGTTGTTCTTGCAGAAGACCTGGGTTCGAATCCCAACACTCACATGACAGCTAACAACTGTCTGTAACTACAGTCCCAGGGGATCCGACAGCCTCTTCTGATCTCTGAGAGCATTGCACAACATGGGTGCAGTTACCACATGCAGGCAATACACACATATACATAAAATAAAAATAGGGGCTGGAGAGATGGCTCAGCAGTTTAGAGCACTGACTGCTCTTGCAGAGGACCCAGGTTTAATTCCCAGCACCCACATGGAGGCTGCAAACCATCCTTAACTCCAGTTCCGGGAGAATCTGAAGCCCTCTTCTGACCTCCGCGGCATTGCACAACATGGGTGCAGTCACATGCAGGCAATACACTCATACACATAAAATGAAAATAATAAATAAAATATTAAAATAAGATCAAAATAATAAATTTTTAAAAAAGAAAATGGCTGAAATTACTGAAAGGGCTGTTCTGTTTTCAAGGAAGAGAGATACATTTAATGCCATGCTTCTTTTGTAGAGGACGAAGAGGTGACATACACAGTCATTGATCAGTTCCAGCATAAGTTTGGTGCTGCAGTAAGTACTGTACTCAGTTGTTTCCAGTATTGTCTACATGTGTATCATGACTGTCTAACAAATTTCTTTTAAGATATTTGAGGCTGGCTATGGTGGTGCTTGCCTGCAATCTCAGCACTCTGGAGGCAGAGGCAGGTGGATCTCTGTGAGATGGAGGGCAGCTTGGTCTACATAGAGAGTTCCAGGCCAGTGGGGCTAGAAGGAGACCCTGTTTAAAAAAGAAGAAAAGATATTTAATGTTTATTCTGTTAGCAGAATATTTTGGATTTACTTGTTTATTTTTGAGTGTGTAAATTTGTGAGTGTGGGCATATGTGCCATGTGTATAAATGTGGAGGTCAGAGGACATCTTTCAGGAGTCAGTTCTCACCTTCCACATTTTTTGAGGCAGGATCTCTCTTGTTTCTGCTGTTGTGCCATGTACTTCAGGCTATCTGACCCATGAGCTTCTGGGCACTTCTGTCTCCACCTCTCATCTTGCGGTAGGAGTGCTGAGATTACAGGTGTGCGCCACTGCACTTGCCTTTTTCCATGTGTTCTGGGGATCAAACTCTGGTTATCAGGCCTGTCCAGCCAGTGCTTTCCCCACTGAGCCATCTCCATGACCTCTATTTTGGGTTTTTGCTATGTGCCAGGCTGTTCTGAGATCTGGGATAAAACAGTAATCAAGACTACATTCTAGCCTTAAGAAACTTGTGTTCTTTTTTTCTTTTTTCCCTCCTTTTGTTTTATTTTCTAAACAGGGTCTCATGGTTCAGGCTGACCTCAAACTCCTATGTAACTGCAGAAGATTTTGAATTCCTGACCCTCCTGCCTCTACCTCCTAAGTGCTAGGATTTTAATTGTTTACTACCAAACCCAGATTTATGTGGTTCTGGGATCAATTCCATGGCCTCCTGCATGCTAAGCAAGCAGTATGCCAAATGAACTACATCCCAGCTCAGGAGCTTACATTCTAATACAAGAGAATAAAGAAATAATTTTACAAGCTGGGCTGTTTGTGGACACCTACAATAGACAAGGAGGGACTGGAGAAGGGAATCTGAGAACCCAAAGTGCAGGACACAGATTACAATATTGAGCATCTTCACTGTTAAGTGAACAGCAGACATTTAAAGATTCTTAGAAAAAACAGCTTTAAATTGATCTTAAGTCAAAAAAAAAAGAAGATGATTGAGGGGCTGGGCAGATGGCTTGGTCAGTAAAATGCTTGGTGTTCAAGAGTGAAGACCTGAGTTTGCGTCCCCAGCACCTAGGTAAAAGCCAGGTACAGCAGCATGCATCTATGTCCTCATCACTGAGGGGTCAAAGATAAGCAGATCCCTGGAGCTCAATAGTCAGTGACTTTAACTGAATCAGTGAGCTCCAGATTCAGCGAGACCCTGTCTCAAAAAATAAGGTAGAGAGTGACTGAGGAAGACACCCAACATTGACCTCTGGTGCACACACACACACACACACACACACGCACGCACGCACGCACACACGAACACAGAGGTAATCCAATCCAGGTGTTTTGGTACCATCTGTAATCACAGCACTTGGGAAGTAGAAGCTTCGAGGATCAGGAATACAAGCTTAGTTTTAGCTACATAGCTGAGTTTGAGGCCAACCTGGGGTTTATGAGACCCTATCTCAAGAGATCTACTGTTCATCACTTGCCAATTTGCATTTCTCATTCATGATATTATGATGCTGCCATTTTTGGCTGAAACTTCTTTTTTCAAAAAATTATATTTATTTTAATTTTATGTATACAAGTGTATTGCCTGCATATAAGTGCACCTATGTAAGTGTACCTATGTCATGCAATGCCCACAAAGGTCAGAAAATGTCAGATTCCCCTAGAACTGGAGTTACAGGTGGTTGTTTAGCCACTATGTGGGTGCTGGGAATTGAACCTGGGTCCTCTGCAAGAGCAGCCAGTGTTCTTAACTGTTGAGCCATCTCTCCAGCCCCACTTCTTTTCTAACAGATGTTCCACATTAAGAAGCAGAGTGTCCTGAGTGTGGCTGCAGAAGGAGCGAATGTATGCCGCCATGGGAAACTTTGTTGGCTTCAGGTAAAAGATTTTCTTTCTTTTTTTTTTTTTTTTTTTTAAATACTTAAGAGTTTGAAATGTTTGGTTTGGTTTGGTTTTCTGTTATGGTCTCATGTTGCCCAGGCTGACCTTGAACTCACTGTGTATCTGAGGCTAATCTTGAACTCCTTGTCCTCCTGCATCTGTCTCCTAAGCTCTGGTATTACAGGTGTGTGCTACCATGCCCAGTGTGGTTTATGTATTTCGTTTGTTTGTTTGCTTTTTGTTCTTTGAGTCAGGGTCTTCCTATAACCTCATTTAGCCTGGAACTAGCTATGTAGATCATCCCAACCTGGCCTGGATCTTACAGAGATCAGCCTGCCTCTGTCTCCTAAGTACTGGGATTAAAGGCATGTGCCACCATGCCTGACTGGTTTATGTACTTTTTATTTGCTTGTTTGTTTTGGTTTTGGTTTTTGAAACAGGGTCTCCCTATAGCCCCAGCTGGCCTGGAACTTACTATGTAGACCAGACTGGCCTTGATCTCACAGAGATCCACCTGCCTCTGCCTCTCAAGTGCTGAGACTAAAGGTGTGCACCACTACACATAGTCATATTTAATTTTTAAAATCAATATCATGTTCAGAGGCTGGAGAGCTAGCTGAGTTGTAAGTACCTGAATTCAATACCAAGAATTCAAAAACAAAAAATTAAAAAACCCATAAACAACAACAAAAAGGTATAAGGTATATTTATAGTGGGCATGGTGGTACACATCTTTAGTTTGAGTACTCAGGAGGCAGAGGCAGGCAGATCTCTGTGAGATTGAGGCCACTCTAGTGAGTTTGGGCATGCTGGGGCTACAGGGAGACCATGTCTCAAAACCAAAACAAAGCAAAATCCCCCAAAATATCAGTACCCAGAACTCACCTTTTTTTTTTTTTTTTTTTTTTTTTTGAGATAGGGGCCCTGTATCCAAAAAAAAGAGGACGATAAATCTTTCACTGTGATATATCAAAAAGATCTGCCTGCCTCTGCCTCCCAAGTGCTGGGATTAAAGGTGTGCACCTCAAGCACGTCGAGCTATTGAATTCACCTTTTCAAAAAGCCAGATAGGCTCATGGTGGTGCAGTCTTTTAATCCCAGCACTCAGGAGGCAGAGGCAGGCAGATCTCTGTGAATTCAAGGCCAGCATGATCTAATAGTAAGTTCCAGGCCAGCTGGGGCTATAGGGAGACACTATCTCAAAAAAACCAAAAAAAAAAAAAAAAAAAAAAAAAAGAAAAAGGCCAATCTGGCATAGTCTATATAGCAAGTTCACTTGTTTATCTCTTTCATTTTGAAGATCAGTGTTTTTACATTTAATATTTATTGCAGGCTTCACCCATGCTAAGCTGCATCCTAAGCCCTATTGTATCTTGTTTTTTTTTCACTCAAGATCAATTTAAAGGTGTTTTCCCTAAGACTATTTGAAGGTCTACTGTTCACTGAACAGTGAAGATGTTCAGTGTTTTTTAAAAAAATATTTTATTTATATTATTTTTTTATGTGTATGAGTATATTGCCTGCTTGTATGTGAGTGCCCCTGTGTCGTGCAATGCCTCAGAGATTAGAAGAGGGCTTTGGATTCCCCTGGAACTGGAGTTAAGGACAGTTCGTAGCCACCATGTGGGTGCTGGGAATCAAACCCAGGTCCCCTGCAAGAGCAGTAAGTGCTCTTAACCTCTGAGCCATCTCTCCAACCCCAGATGTTCAGTGTTTTAATGTGTCCTGTACTTCTGGCTCTCAGATCCCCTTCTCCAAACTTTCCTAACTATGATTTTGTTTATTGTAGGTAGCCACAAACAGCCGAGTTTACTTATTTGATATTTTCCTTCTGGGAAGTCGTGCTTTCAATAATGGACTTCAGATGATATTAGAAGACAAACGAATTTTAAAGGTGAATGTGTAAGCTGATTCCTGTAGTAGTGAGATTAATAGCCAGGTTCTAATTACTGTGTCTCCATCTTCTGACTCCTTAGGTAATCCATGATTGTCGCTGGCTTTCTGATTGCCTCTTGCATCAGTATAGAATCATGCTGAATAATGTCTTTGACACACAGGTATATGAAGGGGAATTCTGAATTCAAATTAGTGCACATAGCTCTTGGCAGAAAATGCTTGCCTATGAAATGACTGAACTTTTTTTTTTCTGGTGCTATTCCTGCCCACTTCTCACATAAGATGTATGTATAATTTGTAAGAACATTTGGTGAGTTATAAAAATTCTACAGAAGTTACTTAAAAACATCTACAGAAGATGTTTTTCCCCTTTTGCTCCAGAATTTAGACCATAGGAAAGAAGATTGGTGCTCTATGACATTCAGAAACTTGAGCAATTTGGGGTCTTTTGGAAGTGTGATATGGGAGGCAATATGAAATGAATACATCTCTGCCTTTATCATGTATGTCACCTCAGGTGTAGGTTGTTCTAGATAGGATGTCCTCCCCCCAAAAAGCAACAAAACAAACAAAAAACCTAAAACCAATCTGGCCCCAATTGTTTGAGGAGATCTAATTTGACTCTCATCCAAAGGAACTTAGAGAAATGAGAGAATGCCTCTACTATCTACCCCTTAGAACTCATCTGGTTTTCTGATTTGATTGTGAGACCAGTAAAACCACATACCAAAGAAGAGTATTTTTTTCTTTTCCCTTCCTTCGCTCCCCTCCCTCTTCTCTGTCTTTCCTCCTTCCCTTTTCCCCTTCCCCGTTCCCTTCATCCCCTTTCTTTCCTTGATCTTTGCTCTTTTTTTCTCTTTGGTGCTGCAGATCGACACAGGACCTCATTTAGCTTCTTCTAGTTTTTTTTGTTTTGTTTTTCAAGACAAATCTTACTCTGTAACCCATACTGACCTAGAACTCACTATGTGACCCAGTCTAGCCTCAGATACACAGCAATCTTCCTGCCTCAGCCTTCTAAGTTTTAGAATTACATGGTATGAGCCACCGTTCTCTCCTGGTCAATTATTTTTGAGGACTAATTCCTAAAAGTGAAATTTCTTATTGCTAAATGTCACTTTGTTTTGTTCTTTTTTTGTTTGATTGGTTTTGGTTTTGTTTCTTTTTTTAATTTGTTTGTTTGTTTTGAGACAGGGTCTCCCTGTAGCCCCAGATGGCCTGGAACTCACTCTGTCACTATGTAGAACAGGCTGGCCTTGAACTCAGAGAGATCCAATTGCCTCTGCCTCCCAAGTGCTGGGATTAAAGGCGTGTGCCACCATACTGGGCCTATTTTTGCTCTTTATATATTTGTTTATATATTGGTTACTTTTCTATTGCTGTGATAGAAACACCATCACCAAGGGAACTTATAAAAGGAAGAGTTTACTGGCCATGGTAGCACATGCCTTTAATCCCAGCACTGGGGAGGCAGAGGTAGGTGGATCTCTCTGAGCTTAAGGCCAGCCTGGTCTACATAGCTGTTCCAGGTCAGCTGGTGCTACAGGGAGACCCTGTCTCAGCTATACAGTGGTTCAAGGCCAGCCAGGGCTGAGACCCTGTCTCAAAAAGCAAAAGTACACACAAAAAGGGGAGGGATGCTGAGTAGATGGCTTATCAGTTAAGAATTCTCAAGGGTTAAGAGCACTGGCTGCTCTTGCAGAGGCCCTAGGTTCAGTTTGCAGCACCCACATGGCAGCTAACAACCATCCTTAGCTCCAGTTCAAGGGGATCTGACCCCCTCTTCTGGCCCCTGCAGGCACTGCATACATATGATGTACTTACATATATGTAGGCAAAACATTCATGCATGTACAATATACATAAGTGAATTAATTGATTTTGAAAAAGAGTGCTTGCTGTGTAATTATGAGGATCAGGGTTTAGGTTCCAGCACTCACAAGCTAAGTGTCCCTGCAAACACCTGTAATCATAGCTCCTAGCAGGGCAGAGACAGGTGGATCATTGGGGCTTGTTGGCTTCTGAGCCTAGCTGAGAAAACACAAGCCCTAGGTTCAGAAAGAGAACCTTCCTCAAAGGAGTAGGCAGAGAGTGATAGAAGTAAAAACCTGATGCCCTACTCTGGCCTCTTCTTGTATACATAGGTGCACACATTGTACACTCCCATGTGCATACACTCACATAGACACATACATATACAAATAAGTCTTTGGCCAGCAAGATGGCTTGGCAGGTGAGGCTCTTGCCACCAAACTTGACAACCTGAGTTCAATCCCCAGAACCCACATGGTGGAAGGAGAGGACTGACTCCCATAAATTGTTTTCTGACCTCCACATGCACACCATGGCACACACACTTGAACACACACATGTACAACAAATAACTTCAAAAATTAAAACAAAATCTTAAAAAAATAAAGATAAGCTGGGCATGGTGGCACATGCCTTTAGTCCCAGCTCTCTGGAGGCAGAGGCATGCAGATCTCTGTGAGTTCAAGGCCAGCCTGGTCTGTATAGCAGGTTCCAGCCAGTCAGAAATACATAATGGGAACCTGTCTCAAAAAATAAAAAGAGGGCTGGAGAGATGGCTCAGTGGTTAAGAACACTGGTTGTTCTTACAGACAACCCGGGTTCGAATCCCAGCACCCACATGGCATCTAACAACTGTCCGTAACTACAGTTCCAGGGGATCCAATGGCCTCTTCTGTCCTCGTGGGCATTGCACGACATGGGTGCACTTACCTTCAGGCAGGCAAACACTCCTATACATAAAAATAATAAAATACTAAAAAATAAATAAAAATAACAGAATAAAAAATAAATGATCCTGGAGCAGCCATGTCTGCCTCATTTGCCCTGCTTACTGGTCCCTTGCTTTAGGCTTCATAAATTTCTCTTTGCCACTCTGAAAAATTTTTTTTACAGTCTTTGTCTCCCCAGTCTCCAAAGTCACCAAGTATAATAACCATAAGGCAGGCAAATAAGAGAAAAGAAAGTAGACAAGACTAGAGAGTTGTGTTGTCTTGTTACTTTTAATTAATTAATTTTTTTCAAAGTGAGTTGACCAAACTCACTTTAAAATTTATCTGTAGCACGGCTTATCCTTGGGAACAATGGTATTTAAAGATAATCCTTCCCTCTACTCCTCTTGGTTTTTTTTAGATAAGGTCTCCCTATAGCCTCAGCTGAACTGGAACTCACTATGTATACCAGGTTGGCCTTAGTGTCACAGAGATCTGTCTTCCTCTGCCTCACACATGCTGGGAATACATGTGTGCATCATCATGCTCCTTGCTCTCGCTCTTGCTCTCTCGCTCTCCTCTCATATGGCCCAGGCTGGCCTCAAATTTCCCTATGCCTTAGAGAATGACCTTGCACCCCTCTTGCCTCTTCCCAAGTGCTGGGATTTCAGGCATGCACCGGCATACCTCCCCATACGTGCTGGGGAGAGAACCCAGAGCCTCAAGCATGCCTAGGCTAGCACTGTATGACAGAGCTACATCCCCACCCATTAGAGATGATTCTTTGAAAATATTTCTGTCATGAGATAGTTTTTTGTGTATATTTGATTGCTTAGTTTTGTTCTGTTGCTTATTCTGTGTTTCATACTTCAGGTAGCAGATGTCCTTCAGTTTTCCATGGAAACAGGTGGCTTTCTTCCAAACTGTATCAGTACTTTGCAGGAGAGTTTAATCAGACACCTTAAAGTTGCTCCTAAGTATCTCACCTTTCTGGAAGAGAGACAAAAACTGACTCAGGTGAGTGGTAAAAGATGTCCCATTTGAGGTTATGTTTTTCAAGTGTGTTCGGCATAGGGTTGATAGCCAAGTAGAAAGAGAAGCAGCAGCTGCTATATAAGCATCTGCACATTGCCAGAATCCTTTTTTTTTTTTTTTTTTTTTGTCTTTTTGAAGCAGGGTCTCCCTGTAGCCCCTTGAACTCACAGAGATCCACCTGCTTCTGTCTCCCAAGTTCTGGGATCAAAGGCATGCACCATCACGCCCGGCAAGGCTACTTTCATAGAATGTTAACAAGGAGCCATGAATGAATGGCATATTTATAACAAAACACATCTGAGCCTGTTGGAGCCATGTGTTGCTTAGCTGTAGTAACAATGTTTAAAATAACACCAGAAACAGAATAATAATGGGTAGAGAATTTTTTAGCTAGAAAAATGCCCTCCAAGACTTGATAGTATATTTAATTTTGTAGTTCTGCA